TATAGCGGCTTCTACCTGCCCTTTTACGTCTGGAGAGTTTTTTGCGATTCAACTAACTTTTTTAAAGATGATAAAAATGACAGACTATACCTTTCATAAAGCAACCCTTCAGGCAAGGCAATCTGGGTAGTGTAGTTGCGGGATAAACATCCCTGGGCTATCTGATTATGGCTTACTGCAGCGGCACTGGTGTCTAGTAACACTCAGAGAGAGCGCTCAGCCATCCATCACGCAGTGAGTGTCTGTCTAAGGCTTTCCACCCTGCTTCTTCTCGTCCTGGCTCTCCAGTTACAGCCATACACGGCCGGCCTAAATAATATTCTTCATGATAAATGGCACTATAAGCCTGGTATCCATCATTAATCTGATTTTTAAAGAAGCATCCATCTTGGAGAGAGCCTGTTAGGGCCACGGGAGAGCAGAGCAGCTCGGGTTCATTTAAAGGCCAGGCTGCTGCATGAGTGATACCTGTCAGCCCTGTTCATCAGGGAGCAGCACACACACTCACGCAGCATTAAACACTGGCGCCATATGGCCACATCTGCGCACAGACACACACACCTCTACGATGCCTCCAAGCGTCCTCGTTGTGCATATATTATGAGTAAACAACGCTAACACACTTGTCGGACTTGTATACTCACAAAGCATATTTCTCCCCTTCATTCGACATCCAGAGATGTGTCATGGAAGAACATTCTGTCACTCATCAAAACACAACTCGGTGTAACTCAATCCTCTCTGTCATCTCGAAAAAATCTCCCCTCCCAAACGCTTCTCCTTAAGGGTTTCAGGAAATCTCACTCGCCCCTGGAAAAACTCTCCCAAACTCATACACAAACAACTGTTTTTTGTGTGAAACTCTGCTGACTTTACACCTCATACTACGTCTCTTTGTTTCTCTCAGTGCAATCTCTGTCTTGTTTTCCCCTCTTTCACTCTCTCTTTCTCTCTGCCCCCTATCCACCTCCCTTCTCTGTGTGTCTGGTAAAGCCCGTTTGATAAATGACACACGTCAGCGTGTCAGAAGCGAAGGGTGGGTCAGTGATAAATGACTCTGTTGAAAAGGAAATCGGCTCTCTGGCATGGCTTGGCTATTCTCCTCCTGGATTGGGTTTCAGGACCCCTGAAGACCGGAGCAGCTCAGTTTCCCTGAAAACAGCACACATCCCACCAGGCTCTAACACTCTCTAACGCTCTCTACCTCTGGGAGGGGTGGGAGGGTGGTGGGTTTGGAAGGATCCAGCCTGTCCCAATTGTCGCCAGAGTGCAGCTGCATCTATCACAACAGCAGTGGGACTATTTTTACAAAGCCTCCGACTCGGTGCCCAGACAGCAGTCTCAGCTGAAAACCTCGGCTGAAAGCACACTGAAAGCTGAAAGGGAAGAGTGTATGGCTAACGGTTTTCTATTTGTGACACTACTACAGCACTTACACTCTTCTTTTGCTCTCAGAGCCCAACCCAATGGGTTGACGTCTGCCAAGTGCGTGTTAAAAAGGAGAGAAGGCCCATTTCAGCGCCCTCGCTCTTCTTCTCGTCATCCCGCCCCCCCTACCCCTCCACCACCCACCCCCATCACCACCACCAGCTCCTCCTCCCCTTCCTCCCCCTTCTGGCCTCGTTCTCTCTTCTCTTACACTATCTCTTTCAGTCACTTGCTGGCAGGGTGGCACTGTTATCATTACACAGGCAGGATTTATGGAGTCAAGGCCTATGGCAAAAACAAAAAGGCGTCTGTCAATACCTGTGGGAAACATTCTGTCAGCCTTCCTCCTCCTCCTTTCCCTGGTGCTCACAGCCTCATTAGGTATGCACTTATCAGACACATAGATCACAGACGTGACTCAACCTCACCGGAATCCAGCCACAGGACTTTCATTAGCAACGGGCCCAGCAAGGCCAAAACACTTGCCTTGCTCACACCTGCAGACAACAGCAGCTGAGGAGACGTATTGTTGTTGTTGAACCTCGCTAGCGCTGTCACTGCGTTTGTCGGTTGGACAATTAAGTCCAAACTTGCGGTCCCCTGCTGCTTCCAAAAGGGCGTGCTTTTCACACATAAACAACAGGAAGGCAGACAGATATAAAAGCGTACTTAATTTCACTTGGTGCTTTTACAACCCATTCAGAACATATGGGTGTGGGTCTGCAATGTGTGCTGTAAAGGCTTGTATCTTTACTGGTGTCAACACTCTGTGTTTGTTGTTTCTTAGCTGGCACACACGCAACTGATTTGCTAAGAAAGAGGTGGGAAGAGAAGAAAAAGTGGAGACTTCTTAGGCCTGAAGGGTTCAGAGAATTACAACCTGACCGCAGCAGGTGGTTTGTAATTATCATTCCCGTCCATAGTATCAGTAAGTCAAACCACGTACACATTCAAACCCAACAAATTCAAAGGTAGATGCCCACTTATTTAAGTGTATACTCACTCACCCGCTCGTAGACAAACATAAGTGATGGCTGCCAGTTTGGCAGCTGTACTCCTGACCCTGCAGAAAGAAGAAACTGTTGCTGTGGAGTCCTGTCCAAATCAGACCGACTTCCCCACCCTTCTCCATCTACATTACACCCTCTCTCAGACTAACTCTTACACAAACGAGCAAAGCACAGCGTTTTGAGAATGAAAAGGGCAGGATGGATTTCACTGTGGTGGTGTGACAATGCACTGACACGAGCTGCAAACAGCTGCGTCTTCGCCCTCATGTTGTAAAGCCTATGTCGACTTCCTGTTAAGTCGACGGAGTATTTCAACTTTCTGAAGCCATTTCAACAGCTTCGGGACCCCGAGCTGGTGGCAAATTCACGAAGGGCTCTACATTTCCACAGCCGGGAAAGTCTCGCTCTCTCATGTTTGCTCGCCTGTTTATGTGGCCAGCTGCCCTTGGCTGTTAAGAGCACTCAGACCTGACCCAGGTACGCAGGCCCATTTGTCACCTGCAGCAGAAAATTGAGTTACAGCACAACCAAAGGCGAGCGGCTCTGTGTAATATCAAGTTGATTACATCAAAGTGGTGGCAAACCTCATTGGGCTGGGCACCCCGAGCTTGTCATCTCCAATCACAGGGCCTGTCAGGACTCCATCAGCCTCACGGCTAATTGGACCAACGCTAATGAAGCAGGCAAAACAAGTTTTCTACTGTGGAGAGAGAAACCCTCTCAGACAGGAAAGAAAGAGAGGGAGAAGCCGAGAGTGTGTTTGAGAGACAATGAGAGAGAGCAAAGCAGGGTGGTGTGTGCGTGTATATGTGTGTGTGAGGTGGAGTGGGGGGGTAGATTTTTCATGCAAGTCTCAAGGTTGCAGTGGGCTGACTCTCCCCCTAAGTCCCTAATCAAGGCCCATCATCTGTCATCCTTTTCTTTGCTCTCTCTATCACCATGCTCTGTGCTGCAATCAATTCATCATCACCCTTTGTGTGCCACTGAACAGTTGACAACTTTATAACTTGCAGCTGCACGGGTTGACTGACAGGGGTGGAAGGGGAGCATGAAAAAATGAAGAAATGAATAGATGAATGAATGAACAAAGAAGCCTGGTTTCAGGGAGAAAAAGTTGTTTTCTAAAAACACAAAACGATCTATATTACAGCCTTTTATTCCCTTTCGTCAACAGAGAAACAGCAGTGTAGCAGGGAAGAGAGAGGAGAGGAGAGGAGGAGATGAAAAAAGAAAAACATCCTTCTCACTGATCTGAAATCAGAAAGCTTTCAGTCATTCTTTATGTGCTCCCCGCGGCCACTCTGAGCCAGTGAGCATGTACATTAGGCTGGGGCATTTTGATGAAATAAAAGCCCAGGCCAGCTTATGGCTAAACAGAATGGGAGCACTCACTCAGCTTGTCTCTGATTGACCATTAAAGCCATTGATGAATGGGCCTGTCAGGGGAGAGACAATTAAATCAAACATGAAACAAAGCCGTTGTGACGGCCCGGTCTGACAGAGCAAACCCATTCCTCCCCTCCATTACATAGCACACGGCTCCTTTTACAACCCCTAACCCACTCCTCCCGCCTCCTTCACCCACTGTATGTGTGTAACTGTGTCTGCCTATGTGTGTTCAAAGTGAAGAAGTGAGCATGTGCACATGGAAGTGTGATGTTCTCTGCTGGAAGTATGTGTCTGCTTGTGTGTGTGTGATGTCTCACTGTGAAACCACTTTGTCCCCCCCTTCCTTCACTTTTTCGTGAGTCACTTGACCATCACGGTAATAGAAACTGTGTGTGTGTGTGTGTGTGTGAGAGAGAGAGAGAGAGTGAGAGCCAGTGTAAAAAAGTACACAGGGCCTTTCAAAGTGGTTTAAACGTGACGTCAGGGGCCTGCAGCACATGGTGGGAAGTGATTTTCTGATGCAAATCGGGAAGGATCAGATCAAAGCCGCATGACAGCCAATCAATCAACCGTCAAATCAGACATGGCAACTGTCGATTATGGCTCCTTCCAGCCCACGAAACCCCATTGTCTGCTCTCAAATTGTTTATCTTATCCCAAGAAAAGAAATACCTCAGAGGTAGAGTTTTTTTTCGCTTGTGCAAATAAGTTAAGCGCTGTGATCAAATGCGCACAAAGCCCTTACGCTCTTATGGCACGCCTCGGGCACTCGTTAAGAAAACGCCGCTTATTTCCAGAGGTTTTACGCTTAAAGATCCAGTTTATATTACATCTCGATGCGGTAAACTATCATGGATTCAAGTTTGGAAAAATAGGAAGCGAAAGTTTACAGCAGCCGACTCATCCGACCGGGGCACACCAGCCACTCTAAGCGAGAGCGAAAACGCAGAATGTTGTATATAAACTATACATCAGCTTTATATTGGTAATAGTTTCTATTAGGTCTCACAAGAGTAGCCAAGAGTGACAAAGCGCATCGTTGGAGAGAGGGGAAAAAACCCCGAAGTGAAAACGGAAATGCGGTGACTGGAAAGTGAGCTTTACAAAACAAATGAACCGCAGCTTTGCCACCGTGAGCCTTATTTTACGCATATAGTATTTGGCTCCACATACCTGCTGCGCGCTTCGGCGCTTCTTGTTTCCTCCGTGGCATTGTGTTTTTTAATCTGTGGGGATTTCCGTGAGAAGTCTTCTTTTTATTTCATATAGCTGCCCCCTCGCCGTATCCGGGAAGATCCACCTCTACTCAAAAAAGATTCACGCCTTCGTGTAGTAGACTGCACAACATCGGGGAGTCCGATGAAAAGAAAAACTAAAAACCATCGTCACTGGAATAAGGGCATGCACTGAGAAGTCAGCGGGAAAATACATAAACAAGGTGAGGGAGCATATTTTTGTTTTGGTGGGATCGCGTTAAGAATGTCAGCGGTGATAGCCAGCGTCCACCTCGGCTGCCTGGTCTGGCAACAGGCAAAGTTGAGGGATAAGAGAGATGATCGCGTCACTCACAGCAGGAGAATGGGCAAACCCACCGCTCCGTTAACTCTTTACTTCTCAGAGAGGGGCGGACACCACACACGAGTGTCCTCCTACCTCTGGTTTTCAGGCAAGTCAGAGGTTATTACACGCAGGCGGCTGATTATTACAAGCCACAAAACCACAGCTATCATAATGATTCCAGTAATACCACTAGGCACGTCAGTCTAACGAATAATCATAGAATGTAACGTTTATCACACGTTGTGACTTTGCTTTATTTATTAAACGAACACATTTCCCCCGTTGTTTACTTACGTAACTATAATTTTCTTGCCACATAGATGCAGTGTATCTGTTACATTGTAAATCATTAATCTATATGACATTTTAAATTTTGATCAAGTTCTTATGATTTTCTTTTTGATTCACCTGTGTGTGTGTGTGTGTGTGTGTGTGTGTGTGTGTGTGTGTGTGTGTGTGTGTAAATAATCTCCCACAATTCAATCTTGTACTTTTTCATACTTATGGATCACAGCTGGACAAAACCAAAATTACTAGTATATAAAAGTTTTGATTCCATGGTTTATATTCAATGTAGTTAAACCTTTTTATTTTGCCACAGAATAAAAAAAACAACTTACAGTGTATAAAATATGGGTGGGGACAAATTAATAACGCAGTACAATAAGTACAGTGTCAACGAAGACAATATGTACAGTATGTATATGCAATGTATTTATGTAATATGTTAAAGACATACAATCAATTATATATATAGCAGGAGATGCAAACAGAGAGGACAATGGCTCTCGGAGGCCTTTATACTGCATATTGTAAGTCATTTTCATTGCAAGCTCACATAGTCAAAATATTTTATAACTGATGAACAAAATTTGTAAAACAACCCCGCTCCACACCACCTGAAAATGCAAACATGCCCGATGCCTCAGCCACAATATTTTGATGTGAACAGTTAAAAATGTTAGCTTTCATCACAGTAAAAAAAGAATCACTTCTCCCATATATCTGCATTAGGTAGAGATCAAAGCCAGTTCGAGGGAACAGCGTCATGTCTTAAGAGCCAAGGTAATGAGTTCTTTTTTTACACCACTTGTATCTTTCGTTTTTTCTCGAGCCAGCAGCATCTCTGCAGAGTGGGACGGTCCCAGGTCTCCCTCTGTGTCTCTGATGTGCGTTGACCCCTGCCAGCAAAAACGGCACATACAAATACCAAAACATACTGCATGCCGTGTGCTCAAAGCCACACACGCATTTTGCAGACACACAAATGCTAGCGAGTGTGCTCCCTCTTTGCCTCTCTGTCTCTTGCTCTGTCTGTCTGTCTGTCTGTCTCTCTCTCTCTCTCTCTCTCTCTCACACACACACACACACACACACACACACACACACACACACACACACACACACACATGTAAGCATCCTCATTCAGAGAACAAGAATTAAAGCCCTCTCTGATAGGACTGGCCTCTGTCTCTGCATCTCTAAGAGCACATAAGCTGGGTTCCTGTCACTTTAACAACATGAAATTACAACCCAAATGGGATGTCAAGGGTTAGCAGTGTCTGCTAGAGAACTATGCGAATATATTCTCTCCTATGGACTTGGCCCCACTGTGACCTCCCCCAGGAACAAGAAGTAACCTGGTGATTGGCGTTTTTACAGCCAAATTAAACCGTCTTGGAGCCTGCTGAAGGCAGGAGGAGAAAGCAGTCACTCCAAAATTAGTGAGCCATCATCATGACAGAAAGTAGCGGGGACATGGTGTCATCCAGCTACTGTATCGATTAACCCATAAATAGTATATGGCCTCTACACTGTGGCTCTCCCAGGCTTACACTGTAAATGGAGGTTATCTCAGCTGTGCATCTGTCTTACTTTCCTGTGTGTGTTAAAGCTTTGAAACGGAGATGCTTTAATCTAGCCGGGTGTTTAGCACATTCAGAAAAAGAGGGCATTATGGGTATAATTAGAGTGATGCAAATGGTATCTGGTATGCTTCCAGCATTTTAACAATATTGTACTGATGAAAGTTTGAAACTCATTGTGCAGGGTTTTATTAAAGAAAACAACAGCACACAATTTCACAAGCTCAATTACTCACTTGCTTTAAGGTATGCGATTTTATACATGAAATTTGGATATTTTAATAATACTCAGATACTTTCTTTTTAAGGCATATGTGTGATTCCTTCTTATGTCAGGTAGCCCTGCTGCATTATTCCTCTCTTCTTGCTCTCGACACCAGGATTATCATAAAAGAGGAACGTCTGTCAAGCCTGCATTGATTTGCACACAAGTTCGCCCAATCAATCTCAAAGTTGTGATTAAAAGGCATGAGCTGCTTCTATTTTTCTACAGAAATCTTTTGGAAAAAAGAGAGAGGCCTTTCAATTTCATAGCCTCCAGAACACTCAAGTATTCATTGCGCTCTACTTTTTGCTTTCAACCTCTCTGCGGGAGGCAGGACTCATGACATCTATGTATGCCGCTCCTATTCACAATGCTATTCAGCCTTCCGATATGTGCTGCAAGTGATCCCTCAATACCATCAAATCGCTCTTATTGGCCTGCACCGTTATGGGCAGCACAGTGCAGAGCCACAGCGCAATCTGACAGTTCTGTTCTCATGAGAAGTCCCCGTCAGCAGCGCTTTGTGCAAGAAAAGGACCAATCTTTTATAATATTGCAAAGTTTTTATGCTATTCTCAAAAACGCTTAGGAATAGAACTTAAAAGCCAACAAATTTGCGATAGATGGGGTATTTTTTATTGATTTCTTGCAAACAGACACTAGTGTTTGTCTGTGCACTTGCTTTGTCTGTGTATTCATGTGGCTATGTTCACGGGTGCATAATGCATGGCCATGTTGAGAAGAATGATTGCTTTATTCCTGCCTTGTAGGTGCAATGGGGGCCAGGGCAGTGTCTTTGGGCAGCTGTATGGATGGCTTGAGGAGGTCTCCATCATTCATAAAGCGCACTCCTACATGTAGAATTGATCTAGCAAAGAAACAGGGTGGCAATAGCAGTTCATCAGTCTTCCCCAACCACAAATCACTCGGAGGTGTCCCCCCAAGGGAGAGGTGACACCATTGTCAGCGCAGCAGTCCCCTCGGACAACAAAAGGGGCAGGGCAGGGACACTTGCTCATACAGCGACCCCGAAGTGTCCAGTGAAATGCGAATACCCTTTGTGTAAATATAGTGTATCCATAGGAAAGGTTAAAAAACAACAACTTTAATATAAAAACGTGAGTGAAATGACTGAGGGTGGAGCTAAATTAAGATGTAAAAATAAACAGCCGTGTGACTCCTTCTGTTTTCTTTTCTCACTGTCGCTACAGGAACAGGAACAGAGGCACAAGTGCTATATGAACTAATTTTTCAACATTCTGATTGATCTCGAAAACACACCTATGCACCACGTGCTGAAGTCAAACAGGTTTTATAAAGGATGCATAATTAAAGCTACCTTTACTCATAGTGTTTAATATATGCACCTCTTCCTATTAATAAGCCAGGTCATTAATTTGTATAAATCAGCTATGTACGGCACAGAGTAATTTCCACTCCTGTAAAGAAAATTGGTGAGATGAAGCTCTTGCCTTTGGCCTTGGGTTGCGCATTACACTCATCTTACATTAGGGCACATGATTCTCCTGTTCTCCTCCCCCTCCTCCTCCTCCTCCTGCTGCTCCTCCTCATACCGTTTGGACTTTGTCATTGATCTTCATTCTAAAATAATCTCTTATCATTTCTCATTGTAAGCCTGCAGAAAAACCTTTTCCAGATCCCAATTCATTAGCTTCACACTGAAAATAGAAAAGCTCAGGAAAAGGTGGACATGTGATGATGGCTCAAAGTAAGCACTTTTTGTAATATATCCCATGAACCACCTTAAACACTCTTGATCTTTCTTTAAACCTTTGATGGAGAGATTTTTTTTTTACATTCTTGAGGCATGGATGACTTAATAAAGAAACTTTAATGTTGTCATTCTCTTTTCCCTTGTTATTAAGCCATTTAGTTTGGTTTTCCCTTCATGTCCTCATTAATAAACATTAACATTCACAAACTGAATGGGTCAGGCATTGAAAAGGTCTCCTTAACATTTCTTTGTGCTTCGCTCCAGACAGCCGACAACCAACTCTCTCTCAGTCATTGTCCAGACGGGAAAAGTGAAGCATATGGGAGACAAAAGTAGGATTTATATTTTGGGGGAAATTATTAGGAAAAATTGTTAATTTGATAGGGTTCATCCTTTAGGGGTGGTAGACGACTCCACACCATTTCAATTAGTGCACTTCTGATTGTAAAGGCAGAACTCTGGTGATTGATCAAGTCTCTCCCTCTCTCTCCCTTCTCTTCTTCCCGTGCTTCATTGCCCAAAAGACCCTTTTAAAATATTCAGGTAGATTATGAATTGTTACACCCCTATCTATTTATATCTCCTTTATTGACAGTATTACATTTATATGAAGTCAAGGTGAGGGATTTAATTTAGGACTCTTGCTGAACAGCTCAGAACATTTAGAAAAAGACTGATTACAGGAAAATGATGTATATGATTAACACTTTTCAGAGAAAAAAAGTATAACACAGTTGTAACTCTAGTATGGATTTGCTGGGATTTTTCTCTGCTTGAAGTACTCTGAACAAATTCAGAAATATTTCAATAAGTTTTAGGAGCTATGGTCTCACTGAGTGACTAATAATTGTGGTGTTACCTTGTTATGGAAATTCAAAGCTATGTCTGGCACATCGCTCCTCTGATGTCACGTCAGTCTGCTTAGAGCTGTCAGCATGTGTTTGAGAGAGGGCTGATTTCTCTCTTTCCTGTTCCTTCTCAGGCGGGGAACATAAAAGGGAGGATGTTTATGATGGACGGGCAGCTTTTTAAAGAGAAGCATCACAGGGTGTTGGATGGGAGGGATCCGAATCAGGACGTCTGTGATGTGACGAGACAGACAGGAACATCCTTCTCCTCGTGTCGAGATGTCAAGCAGGGGGAGTCTTAGCAGAGTAGACAGTATCATCACTCTCCAGAGTGAAGCAAGAATTCACAGGGGAGAAGAGAAGTGGAGGGACAGCGGTGCAGATTGGGCACTGTTGGCCT